ATGCAGAAGGTCCCAGGTTCAATCCCTCATTATCGCCAGTTAAAAAAAGATCCAGTCGTAGGTGATGTGAAAGACCTCTGTCTAACACACTGGAGAGCAGCTGCCCGCCTGAGTAGACAATACTGGGTCTGATTCAGTAGAAGGCAGCTTCCGTGGGTATTCACAGGCAGAGCCAGATTCAGATCTTCATTTGAACCAGCCGCTCTGTCTAGGGCTGCATCAGTACATCATTGGGTAGTACTCCACTGCTGCACTATAGCGGTCACTTGTCATTGGATCCAGATGCAAATGACTGCTATGGGGCCATGGCAGGACAATATCCAGCAAAGCGTGGTGGCCCAGGTCTCGCCTACCTCGCAGGGTTGCTGTGAATGTAAGACGGGGGCAGGGAGAACCGCCTTGACCTCCTGGATGGAATGGATCCCGTGTATAATTAATTGGGAGGGTTGGGAGGGGAAGCATTTTGCACAGGCTTAGAGGCATCCGTTGTTTATGTTATTACACTGACAGTTCTGGGGTGGCACAGAAAACAGCCCCCGCCTGCAGGTAGCTCACAGTGCTCCCTCTAAACTGTGGAGACTTGTGACATTGAGGGATATTAATCTCACAAAATAAGCCTGGGGGTAAACACCACCTGCTCTTTGCCAGAGCTACCTTCACACCCATCTACGCCGTCTATACTTCTGCTCCCAGACCCTGTGCACCTAGTTTGCATATTTCGTATCAGATTCCCCCCCCCCCCAGTTTGGTATAGTGGTTCAGAGCGGTGGACTCTGATCTGGGAGAACCGGATTTGATTCTCCACTCCTCCACATGCAGCTGCTGGGTGACCTTGGGTCAGCCACAGTTCTCGCAGAGCTGTTCTCTCAAGAGCGGTTCTCAAAAGAGCTCTCTCAGGCCCACCTACCTCAAAGGGTTTCTGTGATGCGGAGAAGAAGGGAAGGGGGTTGTAAGAAGTGTTCCCTCTAAGCTGTGGAGTTCTGTGAGGAAAAATTCTACTCTGTGAGTGCCTGGCATTAAAGTTGTGAGCGAGCGATTTGGCTGCTACATCAATTAGTTTGCCCTGGAGCCCTTTTTCCTGAGCTAAGACAAAAATGTGTGAGCCGGAGGCTAAAAAACGGTGAGCTGGCTCACACTAATTCAGCTTAGAGGGAACGCTGCTTATGGATATCTCTTGGTGCTGGGGTGGAGCGGAGCGAACGCAGAGCTGCTTCTAGAAGCTTCCGATGCGCTTTCCTGTGTCCCAGCAGGTCTCCTCCATGACCAGCTTTGTGGAATTCCGTGCGGCACTGCAGAACCTGTCCGGGGCTGGCGTTGCCTCTTCCCCTCAAGGAGCGTTTGAGACGGTGTCCCGGGTTGTGTGTGGCCACCCGGAAGGGGGCGACTTGAAGATCCCCTCCCTCAACTGGTACGAGGACAACGACATCAAGAGCTTCCTCAGCCGCAACGGATCCGAGCAGAAGTCTGTCTCCTTGGACAATGCTACGAGTGAGCGCAAACGGCTCATCCCAGAGGGTTGTAGGACGGGCAAGGCCCGTCAATGCTTCCGTTGACATTGGGTCTCGAACCCAAGGAAGCGTTGATTAAGTAGCGGAGCCCTCTCACACAGAGTACAGCATAGCTCCCACCAACCCCTTTTCCTGTCACCCACCGAGTGTTTTTAGAAAGTGGGCTGAAGGTGGTTCGTTACCCACTTTAAATCGGGATACCCACAAGTCCACTTGGATGAAATCCCTGGATGAGAAACTGATTGACGTCGGGATGTCGACCGATGATATTTTTTGAGACGGGCAAAACCAAAGCGTTTTCTCTGATCAAAAAGCAAGTCCTGGAAATTCACCGTAGTAGTTTGATTCTGAGAGCACACAGAGTATGCTCGCCCCTATTCTCTGGTCTTTCTTACCCAAAATTGTCGTCCCCCCCATACGTACTACCTTACCATCCCACGTTTGGTGTGAGAGCCAGTTTGGTGTAGTGGTTAAGTGCATGGACTCTGATCTGGGAGAACCGGGTTTGATTCCCCACTCCTCCACTTGCACCTGCTGGATGACCTTGGGCAAGCCGTAGTTATAAGAGCTGTTCTTGAAAAAGAGCCGTTTCTGTCAAGAACTCTCTCAGCCCCACCCACCTCACAGGGTGTCTGTTGTGGGGAGGGGAAGGGAAAGGAGTTTGTAAGCCGCTCTGAGACTCCTTCGGGTAGTGAAGGGCGGGGTATAAATCCAATCTCTTATTATTATTATTATTCATTTATTTATTGGATTTATATCCCGGCCTCCTTGCGTAGCAGGCTCAGGGGGGCTTGCAGTAGGTTAAAATACGCTAAAACACAGATGCATTGAAACACTGCAAATACGTAGTATGCAACAAATGGCAATGATAAATACATATAAAAAGATAAAATGCTGATGGCAGTAGCGTCCCATAGGGTCGAATTACGCTGGCTGTTGTTATTCAGGTTAACAAAGCGGGCTTTAACAGTCCAGATGCTAACTGTTCCGATGTTATCAATATGTAGTCTTGTTAAGTCTACTACTTAACAAAGAGTCAGAGTCAGATTTCAGCAAGTGATTCAGCTTTATTGAGCAACGCGTAACACAACTAGAACAGAACAACCAGAACAGCTTTTGCATTGTAGCTGTGCTTCTTTTAAACTCTCCCGGCTAATGTAGCCATGGCCTACTGTACATTACAACCAATAGGATTGTCAAGATAACGTCCAATCACAGACGTTCCCGCTCAGGGAACTGGATGGTAGGTGATTGGTCAGCTCTTCCTGGGCTACCAATAGGGATTGGAAGATTGGGATCCTTGCCCAGGATGAAGCTTTACATGGTGTTTCAATGATTGAGTACAAACACAGTTTTTCATTAACTTGAATACACCACATAGTCAGTGGGTCAGTGGCGGCTCCTAATCAAAGGCCTGGTAGAAGAGCTCTGTTTTATTATTTATTTTATTTTATTTATTTATTTCATTCGACTTTTACAGGCCCTGCAGAACTGTAGGAGGTCCCGCAGGGCCCTGATGTCTTCCGGGAGCTCGTTCCACCAGTATGGAGCCGCCACTGAGAAGGCCCTAGTCCTGGTAAAGGCCAATCTGGCCTCTTTCAGACCAGGGAGAGTCAGACGGTTTTGTGACCCTGACCTCAGTGCTCTCTGGGGAACATGTGGGGAAAGGCGGTCCCTCAGGTGGGCAGACCCCTGACCGAATGGGCTTTAAAGGTCAAAACCAGCACCTTGAAGAGAATCCGGTATGCTGTTGGCAGCCAGTGCAATGCCTTGCAGAGTTTTTTTTGTTTGCGAACTGAACACTCTACCTACAATAGTTTTGCGAGGGAGATTTCTGAATAGGCCCTACACTGACCGAATTTACCCTTGTGGCCTTAACAGGATTAATACATCCTTTCACGCCCTGCTGGAATGCAGATTTTTTTTTTTTGAGATTATGAGGGATTACTGTATTAAGCCTTTATTAAACCAGTCGTCCCCCTATACTCCGGCTCTTTTGCTCAGTGATAAGGCTCTTTTGCTCAGTGATAAGGATCCCAGGATCGCTCTAGCAATCGCAGAATTTGTCTCAGTCCCTTTTCGCCCTTGCATCTAAAAAATAAGAAAGGAGCGTCTTTTGCGGCTGAAGATTCGTGAATCAATGAGCTTCTAAGGTTACAAAAGGAGAGGGCCAGGGGGGATGTTGCCCAGCAAGGCTTCCGATTGGTTAGACCTCACCTAGAATATTGTGTTCCGTTTTGGGCACCACGATTTAAGAAGGACATAGACAAGCTGGAACGTGTCCAGAGGAGGGCGACGAAGATGGTGAGGGGGTCTGGAAACCAAGTCCTATGAGGAAAGGTTGAAGGAGCTGCAGGGGTCATTTCGTAGAAAAAGAGCTAGGGGGACTCATTAGCATATGTCACACACCCTGACACCACCGGAAGTGTGTCATAAGTGTGTCACCCACCACTCAGTCTTAGTCTTAAAGGTTAGTCTTAAAGGTGCTATTTGTTAGTCTTAAAGGTGCTATTTGAACTCTTGGACTATTTTGCAGCAACAGACTAACACAGCTAATTCCTCTGAATCTAAACCC